TGTGCCCAGCTCTGATACACTTGTGGTTAGGTACAGCCTGAAGAGAAGGTGCCTCCCAAATGCAGAGTGAGCCCCCTGGCCACCCACCAATGAAAAAAGCCTGATACAGTGGGAGGACACTTTCATCTCTGAACATCACATCATCTGCTTCCAGGCAGCAGAGCTGTGATCTGAGCAGGTGATGACTCGTACTAACATCATCTCTGGGAGCTGTATCACATCTCTGGATATCTCCTTCATTGTCTTAGCAAGACTTGTTCTACCATAGAAGTATGGGGGAGGGCTGATGGAGAAAACCCCCCAGAATTGTGATTTAGTATAAATAATAACTAGTTAAGCACTAGTAGTGTTTTTTTTTTTTTCATACAGTTGCAGCTCTATCATTGTTCCTTGTGTAAAGCTAACCAAATCAAGTACCTCTCTACTTTGCCTGGAAACCCCAGGATGGACTTTAAAATTACAAAGCAGGTAACTATTGCTCTGTGCTTTTTTATTCGTGAGAAGAAAGGCTATTCCCTCTTCTGAGAGGTGAGAACCTGAACTGCGAATGCAGCCCAGATGCAGGATTATGGTATTGTCAATCTGTCCTTCCAATGAAGGCTTATTCCTGGATCTTGGGTCTCTGCTTGTGGATGGCAAAACTGAAATATTGCAACAAACACACATTAACCTGTATCTAGAGCTCTGCTCCACAGGCTGTCCACCAGCAACTTTGAGGAGGCAGCCCACCAAAAGGTACAAGATGTCCACAGCCACTGCAGGGAGATTCTAGCTCATGTTCCAGTTCATCGTCTGGTCTGACCTCTGGGAAATCTTTGTACCATGATGGGCAATAGAGCACCTGAGACTTCCACCAAATAAGAATCTAAATTATTTGAAGCTTACTGCTCTCTGAAAGGGCTTTCCAATTTGTCCTCCCTACCTATAAGAGGATGATGATAATGAAGTTGGTCTTAATGGCGACTTAATGTGCTCTCCAGCTTACAAAGCGGTTATCTTAGAAGGTACTTTATTTTTTCATCAAATAACATGAAGCTGGAAGTGATTGGAGTTACTTCATAGTTGGTCTTCTGCAGGTAAAAGAAGAAAACTTTTTCCCAGCTGTCTTTTGATTAATTCTTTGTCATCTCTGGTCCTTTGGAAAAGCTTTTCTTTTCAAGGAGTAATAGAGTGGAATAATAACTAACTCAGTGAGGTTATATCATATCGCATAGTTGATGCATATCCACTCCCTGTATTATAGCTCCATTTCCTGGAAAGCAGATTGCATCTACTGCCTGCCATGGGAAATTCCCATACCTGAAATCTAAGAGGAGTCATTATTGCCACCTTTGCCCCTGTGCTGTATTTACTATGTGCCTAGTGACCATCAGTGCTCCTCCTTTCCATGATCCCATTTACACAATAGCTTGTCCCAAGTCTACAAATCACTTGCGTGGTTTAAAGATGCACTATTGCTTGCTTTAGAATAGCAGCTCTTAGAGATGTGGAGAGCAAGGGCATTGCTCTGCTTTTTAGTGTCTCACTTCATGGGCCTTCAAAGCGGGTAAGTGCAACTCAGCTTCATCTGTGTCACTTGTGTGCCATTACTAGGCCACATCAGTGACATCCCAGTGTTACGCAGCCTAGCGGGCAACCTTACATGAAAAAAATGTTATGGACGGTCATGTTGACCATGTGTCAGTTTGGGATGTAATCCTTGCTGCTCCCTCTGTGGCTAGTGTAAGGAAAGGCAAGCCCAGAACTGGACAGCTTTGATTCTACTTGGGTCTCTCTGCATTGTGACTAGCTCTAGGTCTTCAGGGATGTAAGCACAAGGGCTTGGATGAAATCTTAAATGCTCTGAGCCTCAGCTGCCCTATTCTTAGTGGACCTTAATTTGCATTAAGGCTGCTTACATGATGGTGTACTCATCTAATGTGAATGGGGAGTCTGGGACTTGTCTACTGAATCAGGTAATTGGTCTATCCAAGTAGTTTCCTACCTCTGGTGAAGGGCTGATATCCAGTAAGCTGGGAAAGTGCAGAATTACATAAAGTAGCTTCTCACCTGAACTGTGCTTCTTATGTGGGAAAAGGAATTTCCTTCCTTACCTCTTGAGGTGATCACTATATGCCTTGAAGCATCACAGGCGACTGCCCTCAGATGAGCTTGCATAACTACAAATGTTATTGGCTAAATAATTACATAGCCTCTTGAAGGGAGAAATATCGGTTGCAGAATGTGACTCAGTGCCTTTCATATCAGACTGTTCCAAGAAGTTTTAATAGTCTCTTAATTGAAGTCCTTATACGTTGATATTAAAATGCATTTCATTGGCAATGATATCAAAGAAATGTTAATGCTCCTATTTCTAATCTTTCTTGAGACATAGTAAGTATAACTTTAATGAAAATCACCGTGCATGATGCTCTTATAATACCTGTTTTTTTTAAAAAAAGGAGGAAAAAAAAAAAAATCCTCAAACACCATGTAGTCTGTGTGTTCAATACCAAACCATTTTCTTGTGTTTCTGAGGCTGTTGCTATATTGATGTGTGACATTCATTTTCAATAAAATTTTGCATCTTGGTTTATCTTGGGACTTTTCTTTGACTAGATGGCTTTCTCCAGACCTTTTACATGTCTGCTCATGTGATGGAATAGTTGAGTTGAAATGAGCATGGATATGAAGAAAAATGCTTTTGTTTCCCATTTTATTCACTTGAACTTGATTGTCTTAATCTTTATTCTTATGAGTGTGAATAAGAGTGGAGTCCTTAAGCTGTATGTTAAAGTATGCATTTGTTTCCTATAGTGTAGATTGCTTTGGTTTGGCTTGTGTTTGCTTGACCTTTCATTTTAAATCCCCAAAGTGTGTTCTAGTCTTCTAACTAGCTTTGCTGAGATCAGTGTTAGTGGAGATGACAAAGTTAAGCCCACTACTGACCTCCTTGGAGAATCTTGTTTCAGCAACAGGCATCCTTGGCAAAAAAAATGTTTCTAGTCAGGAGCTCTCTGAATAAAATCTGCCCTGAGCTTGAGCAGTGCAACTAAATCTTTTTTGGGAAGTCTTTGATTTGGAATTTCACCTCACTTGCATATCGTGCAGATTCTGCCCTAAGAGACTACTTAGATATGTATTAAATTCAGCTGAAGCTCAGTTAAGATAAGTGCCTGAACCTGTAAATTAGAAGTACTCATTCTGGTCCTTAATCCAGAAGCCTCTGAGGTTAAGGGTGGTGTCAAACCTGACTTGAATTTCATGGCTGGCCTCAGCTTTCATAATTGGTGAATTGAAACCTCAGATCTGAATCATTCTCTTTACCCTGAAAAGTTGGGTCTGAACTTCATGGCTCAGTTTCACTTCCCCTTGGGAGTTGCTGCCATCATTAATATTAATTTGTGAACCTTCTTGTGCTTTCCACTTCCTTGAGTCTATGAAGTTTGCTGGATCTTGTCCTGCATCTTCACTGCCAAAGGACAGTTCACACCCTTCTGTACCTCCTGTAATTGTGTAATTAGGTAACATTTCTTCAGGGCCTTAGATATTTTAGCCTGTTAGCATAGATGTTTTCTCCGCCTAATGCTGCAAGTCTTAAAAGTGCAGGAAGCTGGAGACAATGTAATTGTATGAAACTTGACCTTGAGTGCTGCAGGTTTTAATAAATTATCTCGGCATAAGCTATTTCTTTCCTTTTACACTTTGCTTATTTGAAGTAATAACTATTCTCTTTGCATAGAAGGAAAGCCAGTTCTCAGGAATTGGTGTAACCAGTTATAGCCAGACAAACAAGTTTTCCAATGGGAAATAAGATGGGAATGCACCCTTGCACGTTCTCTGGGGGGTCACGGCGATACACATGAACAAGTGCCAGGCTCCGTCGTGAGCTGGGCAACCTCTGCTCTGCTGGACAAGCATGGATTGTGTAGGTACATTGTGTGTGGGAAGCATGCCTGCTTCCCCAGCAGCTTTGCCTAGTCTTGCAAATGCCCCTGGTGTCAGAGAGAGAAAAAACTGCTCTCTTGTGGCAGGGTGGTGATCTGCCAACTGGACCCGTTTTAATGATAATTTTCTGCATATCCCAAGTAAGACCCCACTCCAGATGGGATGCCACAGCCGTAACTTGATCTTTTGGGCTGCTGTTCAGAAGCAGTCTGGTCTTCACACTCTGGATCACTCACAAGGCAGGATTGCAGCTGGGACCCTTGGGGCTGGGTAGGGGGGGAGCTCACCAGCAATCCTCTTTAGCCCGGTTCACAGATATACTGGATGGAGTTTGGGGCTGTCGGGACTTGAGGAAGGCCACTGCTTTTGTCGAGTGGTTGGAATCTGATACTCTTTGCAAGCAGCCTGTAGGGTTTGGATACCAGGTTCTCCTTAATACCAGCAGAAGCTGTATGTTAGTGTCCTAGGCAGCTCTGGCCGTCTCAGCAGTGGTCCCTAAGGTGTATGGAGTTTGTCGAGCAAAAAGCCTCTGGCAGTTACACATATGCCTGATAACAATCTGATTACATGAATAAATAGGAATTTTGGAGAAACCAAGGTAATAAATGTGACCCAATCTGAAAATTGTTTCTGTAGTCAGGTTATAGGTGTAGTTACCATGGTTTGTGATGGCTTCCTCAGTTCTTGTTCTAATGAAAAAGTCTGACCACAAGGAAAGCTTAACTTAAAAATGAGCATTCTGGTTTTTGACAGCTGTTTGCTGGCTTTGCTTATGTTGTTTTCAACTGAAAGCCTTAGAAGCCTTTCCTTAAATAAAAAATTTGAACTGGAAGTGAAGCTTCCCTTTGTCAGCATTTCATGATTTGTTTTATAAATGTCCAGCATATCTGGGAAACTTCTTATTTACTACTGTTTACTCTCTCTCCAATGATCTTTATCTGTGATGCTCCTAGAGTGTCAGTGATTTCATTAGCAGGTCACCACTGTCACAAACAGCAAACATAGCCCATTGGGTGCGTACTCTTAACAACCAACTGCTGTGATTTCTGTTCTAACATCTCCTTGGTTTGCAGGACCTCCATGCAGTCGCAGTCATCCTATGGTTCCAACTCTCCACCACTGAGCAAAATGAACAGCATGAACAAGCTGCCCTCGGTCAGCCAGCTAATTAACCCCCAGCAGCGCAATGCCCTGACTCCAACAACCATCCCTGACGGCATGGGAACCAACAGTAAGAAACCCTTGCTGCTTCTTCTGCTGTTTTATGTGTGCTCCCCACTAGTCTGGGCAAGGAGACTTGGCATCTCCAACCAGATAGTGTTAGGCTGGGGAGCCTGGCGTGATTGCTGGAAACATGCAGAGCCAAATACTGCTCACTGCTGTGCCACAGGGCAGCATCCTGCTGTAAGCCTCACAGAGATGAACAGAGCTGCTTCTTGCTGCACATCTGGCTGACTGCACTGTCATCTGTCTTTCAAGACTTGTTTTTTCTTCCTTTCCCAGCAGAGATGCAAATGTTGGCAAACATTTTTTTCCCCTCAGTTCAATTAAGACACGTCTTGGTTTCAAAGGAAATATCTGCATCTCGCAGCTCTGTAACCTGCTTCCTCCTGGCTGCTGAAGAGTGCCCAGCAGCCCTGTAAATCCAGGATGACAGACATGGTTCTGGGGGCTGAGTTTTGGTGCCCCTGTTTTTTAATTTCAAAAGCACTGGACCCTTGCCCACACCTGTTGCTGATCCCCTTCGGCTGCTCTCAGTGCCTCTGAAAACAAAGCTATTTGGCTTCTGTATTGGGTTACACTGCTGGCTCTGTCCTACTCCCCTCCTGCGGCAGGGAAAGCTGAGATGAGGCTCACTTAGTTGCTTAGGTTTCTACTGAGCCTGCTTCTAAGGGAAGGTGATGCGGCAGTGCTGCCGCTGACAGTTATTCCAGCGAGGGGAGAGCTCCTGAAGGACTGTCTGTCATCTGGTCCTTGTGCAGATTGCAGCCCTGCTTGGAATTCCCCTTGAGCTTGCTCCATGCAGGGCTTTGCAGAAGATTTAAAGCTGCTTTGTCAGTGGGTGCTGTCCTTTGGGTGCTGTACTGGGGGTGAAGCGGGGGTCCAGGTATGCCTGGGTAACAATGTGCTCCTACTTCTCTCCTCCAGTTCCCATGATGGGCACCCACATGGCCATGACCGGTGACATGAATGGCCTCAGCCCCACGCAGGCGCTGCCTCCTCCCCTCTCCATGCCTTCAACGTCCCACTGCACCCCCCCTCCTCCGTACCCCACAGACTGCAGCATCGTCAGGTGAGCGGGAGCAGGCTGTCCAGCGCACATTTCCCACCCGCAGGGAGCGGAAGCCTCGTGTCAGGGGTCTTGAAGGGTCCTGCCAGGGCCCTTGACCTGTTCTCCTGGAGCACTGGATCCCAGCGGGTCTTGGCAGTCCTGGGGCTGGCACCCTCTAGGCACCAATCCCCACCTCTGAGCAGCTGAGAGAAACAGGGACATTAGGAGGACTGCAAGAAGCCAAGCGATGCAGCATCCGTTGGACTGGTGGAGCTGAGGGTACCAGGCAGTCTTTGCAAACATTTTTTTTTCTTTTTTTTTTTCCTTTTTCCCCCCCTTTGACCACCCGAGACAAGCCATGGATGGGTTCGGAAGCTCCTCTGCCCTCCATGAGGTCAAACAGGTTGAAAGATGCTGCCCATAAAGGAGGAATCCTTTACGATTAGGGAGGAATGTGCTGACCTGATGTACTTCGTGTGCATGATGTGTCTGAGCCTCAGACCCACTGTCTTGCTGAAACCCTCTATCCATGCAGCAGGCTGCCATGGGCTCAGCCACCTTCTGGGTGAAGTGACCTGGCAGGATGGCCCATGTGAGCCTTCCTGCCCCAAGATCCAGGCTATGCAGCACTGGCTCTTGACTAAGGCAATGTGCTGCCACAAGGGTTGTTTGCTAGGTGCTGAGCTGAAGGACTCCCTCATTTGTTTGATATGGCAGCAATGAGGCTTGCTGGCCTGGGATGTCTTGGAGAAGGTCAAGCCAAGGGTGAAAGCTTTGTTTCCTGTTGCTGCAGGTTGGCTGAGTGTTTGGTTTTTCTGTGGTTTGGGCTGTTGCAGCCAGGGTGATCCTTTTTCTTTCTCCTTCCTTCCTTCCTCCTCTGCAGCTTCTTAGCGAGGTTGGGCTGCTCATCCTGTGTGGATTATTTCACGACCCAGGGGCTGACCACCATCTATCAGATTGAGCATTACTCCATGGATGTAAGTAACTCCTCACCATTTCCTTTGCTTGCACTCTTGGCCCTGCTTTAGGAATGGGTCAGAAATCCAGACTCAGTATTTTTATTTTATATGATTAGTTTGCTTTAAGACTGTTGCACCCAAAGAAGACATATTGTGAGGTGAAAAGTGGCTGGACTTAGGGCCAGCTTTGTAACTGCCTTGTCTGGCACAAAGTGTGTCTCCCCCTCCCCACCACTCTCTGTTTTAGCCCCAGAAGTGGCCCCAGCCCACATGCCTGTTAATTCTACAAGGCTTGGTTTCAGTTTACACTGCTCTGAAACACCTCACTCGCCTGCAGACAAGTAGGCTGTCCAGAAGTGGTCTGTGTTTTTCCCTCCCTGCTTCTGTTTTCTGGCCTTACCTTGATCTTCCCTTGCCACTGGTGTCTCAGCCCTGTTTTGGTTTTGATTTTTTTTTTTTTCTCTTGCATGGTGCTTGCTGCAGGATTGCTGCCTCCTTTCCTGTGCCATTGCTCTCCTCTGAGCTGGCTGTCCTGTTTTTTTGCCCCAAGGTTTTGCAAAGCTGTGGTGCTTTTGCTTCCTAGCATGGGCTGCCTTCCTTCTGCTGCTGCTGTAATTAGAAAAGCTGACCCAAATTAACCAAAGGTGGTTGCTAATTTTTTCAGAAGCTGATACCACATTTCCCAGAGTCTAGGTAATGCTTCCCTTAGGTACTGCACCAGAGATGATGAGGCCTCAACGTTTTGTAAGGTTATATATCTGTTCGTAAACTTTAGTTATGTTGAAGTAAGTAAGGCAGTTCCTATAGGGTCAGACCCAGAGCTTTGAATATTGGGCGTCAGACTTGAATTCTAAAATCCTTTTGCAGGCTTTGAAATAAACACAACAGTTTTCAAAGCCATTGAATTTCTGCGGCCCAGCATCCCCTGCCATAGACAACCAGCAGACCTCCCAGAGGTTGTCTTGGATGTCTTGCAGTCCAGTTAAACATCTAGCTTGAGGTCACCATACCTCCTGCATGAATGTGTGTTTTGTGTAACAGAACAGACCTTGTGTTCTTGCTGCCTCTTGGCTGCACACTCTGGTTAAAAAGTGAACTACCACCTTCAGGAGCAGTGGTTTGTCTCCTACAGTGCATCATGGCCAATTTTAGCGGCGTTGCTGGTTAGTAGGCATTTGCAGAGTGGCCCAGAGGCTTCTTCTGTTCCCAGCTCCCAGGCTGCCCAAGTATCGCCCTGTTAAGCACTCCACCTTGCCTTTCCAGGATCTGGTGAGCCTCAAGATCCCGGAGCAGTTCCGCCATGCCATCTGGAAGGGCATCCTGGACCACCGGCAGCTCCATGACTTCTCCTCCCCTCCCCACCTCCTGCGCACCCCCAGCGGCGCCTCCACGGTCAGCGTGGGCTCCAGCGAGACGCGAGGGGAGCGGGTTATCGACGCGGTCCGCTTCACGCTCCGGCAGACCATTTCCTTCCCTCCCCGCGACGAGTGGAATGACTTCAACTTTGACATGGATGCCAGGCGCAACAAACAGCAACGCATCAAGGAGGAAGGGGAGTGAGCACCATGGACCCCGCACCGCCCAGCCTCGGCCACAAACTGCTCAGCCCTTGTCTTCCTTCTGCTTGGTACTGCACCCCTGGACGAAGGGCGGAGGGACCTTCTTGCTCATTTATTCTGGGTTATGCCCTTGATGCTGTCTAGGTCATACTCCTGGACCACAACCTCCAGCCCAGCTCTTGCAAGGGGAAGAGCGGGTGGTATTTCCTTGAAAGCTGTTGACCTTCTCAAGAAGGCGGTGTTCTTGTTTTGTGTTTTCCTTTGGGAAGAGGGTTTCTTTTCTTGACTTTTGAATCCTCACACACCTTGTGGGCATCCTGACCTGCAAAGTTGCCTCTCTCATCCAGTGATCTTGCTTTGAAAAGCAGGAAGGTGAAAATTTTCTTAAAAGCAAAAAAAAAAAAAAAACAACAACCCATTTCAACCCCAAAACCAAATGCAAAAAATCCAAAGCCACCAAACTGAACTGGCAGTTCATCTGAAAAATAAATGGGAATCGGTCTGCTAAACGTTGCACTTAACCAGCCTCTTCCCACGGAGCTGAGTGCTCTGTTCGTGTGTAATATTCTCCAGCGGAGACAGCACATGCACTTTGCTGGGCAGGCCAGTGCTTAGAGCCACCTGCAACTCATGTTTTCATTTTCCCTTGCCTTCTCTGGGAAAAAAAAAACCTGCTGTCTCTTCTTGTTTTGAATTTACATTCATATCTATGTCCTGGTTTGTTTGTTTCAGGATATAAATGCAATTACAGCCATTGGTCACTCTTGAATTCTGCCCTCGACCCAAACTTTAGCCATTCTGTACTACTACTGACATTTAAGCTAGAGAATTAGGCTTTGCCACATATGCAGCCTGGGTAGTTTAGCATAAGGATTTGCCTGCCTAGCCTCCAGTTGAACAGAGAACCAACTGAGAGCCTCACACGGATTTGTAGGGCTTCAGTGATCCCAAACCCAGACAATCTTTTACTTGGACCATGCTAGATTGATTTCATGCCAAGTACAGTATAACCATCTTTAGATATATCTGTAATAGACTGGAGCCTGTTGTGGTTTGTTGTTGGTGACTATAGACTAAGTGATGAGCAACTAGAAGTGGAGAGTAAAAAAAGAAAGATATTTCCAACTGCCTTGGAACAAGGATGGGTTCCTGGTAATATGAGTGTTGCTACTGCAGAAAGTCATGTTTACATGAGAAATTGATTCTTCTCTGTGGTTGGTTTTTGGTTTTGTTTTTTGGATTTGTTTCTTGTGATTTCTTTATTGGCTTGACAGCAGCTGTGTTTTGAAGCATTTCCTCTGGCTGCCAGTGATCCTGTGGACAAGTAACTGAACAGAGAGCATGTTTTCACATTTATATTGGCCAAGGTAGTGAGACTCTAACATATACAAAACAAACCTAAATGGAGGAGCTCAGCATGGCTGCTTTCAAGTTGGTCTGCTCTTTTTAACAGTAAGCCTGACTTTTTGTTGTTTTTTTTCTTTTTAGCTGAGGAAAGATGAAAAAGCAGCTTAAATCACTTGTCATCCTACCTTGCTATAACCAAATCATCTCGTTTCAATGCAGTGGCTTTTTTCTGGGCCCTGCTATGTGCCATGTATTTCATATAAGCCTGATATTGTTAGCATCCTGCTCCATCTGTCTGTTGTGCCAGGTCTATGTTGCATTCAAAGACTGCCTTTCAGTAACTGTGCAAGCCTATTTTGGATAGCTTTAAATGGTATTGCAAGATTGTTACCCTGTAAAGTGTGTATATAAATATTTTTTTGTATGTGTAATATTTGTTTCCTACAGCATAACATGCCAATTTTTATTTCTTCTTGGGCTACCGGGTCTGACAGAACCACAATAAAATGTTGTTTGTTTTTCTGTTTTTGTTTTTTTTTAATTATTATTTTTATGCAGAACGCTTACAGTATAACTTGTAACAAATGGCTCGTCACTGGACAAATATATTTGTATTTTTCATACTGAGATTCCTGTGTTACTTTGCAGTTGAGGGGGTGGGGAGCAGGTACTGGAAGCCTGTTTTATCATTTATTTTGTAACACTTCAAAGAGCAGTGTCCTAGATTTCAAAGTATTTAACATGCTCAGTGTGAAAACTTACTATGTCTTTTTTTTGTTGTTGTTTTCCTATATGCTACAAAAGAAGCAAGTCATCCTGCTCTTGACTTGGTGCAAGAATTAATTCAGCTGGGCAGTGTTAGTGCAGGGAAAGTGTTAGTGTTGGATACTTTGCAGATTCCTGGAGGTGAATTGGGCTGTGCCCTTCTCACCTCCCAAGGTTTTGCATTACCATTGTGTAATCTTTCTGAGCTGCTTCATATTGTACCAACATTGATGCGAAAATACTGTCATTTTAGGAACTAGGAAGCTTCTGACTATAAGGGTTAATGCAGTTAAGGCTGTGCCCAGAGTCTGGGTGCAAGAACTTCAGTATCTGCCTTTCAACTCAGCAGTGAGAAGGTCAGCAGTCTGCTTTTCTGCTGCATCACTAATGATTAAAATATATGCTGTGAAAACCTTTCTACTGTATACCGCTATGGAGCCCACTTCTGTATAACTGGAATCTTCAAGTGAGTTTGAACTGCTGTAGCTTTTACCCTCCTCTGTAGAGCTGTGATTTTTTTTTTTGTTTGTTGTTTTTTTTTTTTTGATACATCAAAGCATATGGGTTAATTGAGCTGAGAATCTGCCAATGCTTGTAGCAATGACAGTGTTGCCTGCACCAAGACCTGTGTGTACTTTGGAACACCTTGTTGTTGAAGTCGGTGAAAATAAAAGCCAAAGTGAAAATGATACTGAATTTCTAATCAATTTCTTTTGTTACCTGTGCGCCTTCTTGGAAGTTAGCAGGAGTCTTTGCTGCTGCTTCCTCCTCTGAGCAGTCGGGGCTCAGTGTTGCCTTTGCCCACGTGCGCAGTTTTCTCATCCCCACACCAGCCATGTCACAAGGGTGTGTCATAAGGTGCCATTGCACACTCATCTGCCTTCTTTCTGGCAGATCCAATGGGTCTCATGAGGTAAGCCTCATGATGAACTGTGAAATCTTCTGGCTTTTGCATTGTTTGCATGGTTCTGTTTTTTTTTGCCCTCTCATCAGGTTTCTTCTTTCTGGCTTTGAGCAGGGCACTGGCAAGTGTGTTCAATGTTCTGCTCAAACACAGTGGAGCTGCGGTGTCTGTGCGCCCTAGTTGAGAGGAAGGAAGGTACACTTGGAGCAAGCGGGGTCTGTGCTGCCCTTTCTTACCTCCCCACTTGTGAAACAGCCTTGCACAGCCATCTCCACCACCCCCCGTGGAGCTTGGGGAGGATTGTCCTCCTTATGTAACTTACGCCAAAAGCTTTGTGCATCACCCTGAGAATCCTCTCTCCTACCAAAGTAATTTCCTTTTCTTTGGTATCTCAATAATTCTTTCAAGGATTTGAAAGAAGAGCAGCTCAGAGCCAGTGGGATGGCTGTCCTGAAAGTGATGGAGTGGTCTCATCCCAGCTTCATCAGTGGTTTCTATATGGGGCCCATGTCTGTCTTTTACAGATTTCCTTGATTATGAGTCAAAAAAAAAAAAACAAAAAACAATCCCACAAAGATCTCGGAAGAATGAAAGTCCATGGCTTTCCTTAGGAGTTAGTTTCACATTTACCATTAGGGTAGGGAATGCTTGTCTGATTTATTTGGTTCTGATCACTGTTTCTTCTCCCTTTTGGCAGAAAGTTTAGATTCTGGTGAAAGCAGTTATCTCTGGATATCAATATCCAGAGGCCTGTTTGCACTCTGGCAGTCAGGGATTGCTTGAATGTGATGTTAAAAACTAGCATTTTGCCCTCAAAGAGGAAAGTCCTACTACAGTGGCTGCAAGAACTTGCTGTTTCAGCTGATAGACTCTGCCTCTAGATGAGCAAATTGGATGAGGTGAAATAGGACTTTAGTTCAGTTAACAAGGTAAGCTTGAAATATATTTGCCAATGGTTGTAGTTGCTGTCTGCTGGGATCCACTGTCAGAGAAGGGAACTTCTGTGTTCCTTAGGTTACAGCAAGGATTTCGGGAGTGAGGAATCCCAAGCTGGTGCTCTCCCTTTTGCCCTCCACCCATACGCATTGGAATTTTGTCTTTGGATATTGGGATGCTTTATATGCAGGCATGAGGTTTTCAGGGCAGGGATCCATTACAAGCTTCCAGCTGTGTTTTGCAAGCCTGGGTGGACCTCTGAAGACATGCATGCCCTTCTATGCTGCTAGTTCTAAGTGTGCTGAAGCTAGCAGTCCCCTGCAGTGAAACTTATCCAGACACAAGAAAACTTGGCAAACCTCTGAGTGGAGCTTGTAAAGGGTGTCTTGCTCATTACATTCTTCCTGCCCTGCATGGCTTAGCAGAAACTTTTTCCTGACAGCAAAGAGCCTGCCTGTGCTATGGAGGGAGGAGTGCAGGACCTGGCCTCCCACTCTGCCTCTTTGCAAGTAGTTCCTCAGTAGGAAAACTGTGTGGGCATCCCAGCCCTAGCACCCAGTGGGAGCTTGGGCTACTTGGCCTTCTGATTTACTGAACTGTAAAATGTGCAGCTTATATCAACTCTGTGACAGTCAGTGAGCAGCTACTCCAGGCCCCGCAGGGTTCTCCTGCGTGGTCTGCTCCAAGGGACAGCAGGGCACAGCCACTACTGAGATACGGAGCGTGGCCACCTGAGCATGGGCTGTGCTTGTGCTGAGCCTTCAACAGCCCCATTTGGCAAATAATCTCCCCTGGCTGCCAGGCTCAAGCTAGTGGTTTCTGGGTCCTGAGATATTTTGGCTCTCTGTGACCCATGACAGCAGCAAATTGTCTTCCTGAGCCTATAGCAAAGGGCAGAGGTTGGAATTCTGGAGCCTTACTGTTGATGTTTGAATACACTGGTCATGAACATTAAATGGACTGGGACGAAAAGACTCTTTGTGCTCTGTTGGAAAGGACTGGCTGCAGCTTTCTCCCAGCTTGCTTCCCTGAAACCAAGAAGCCAAGATTTAACACAGGTGTATGACAATTCTCTTTGCTACAGCTTTGGTCTCCTGATCCTGGCCCACGGGCTGACCCCTTTTCTTTATGCCCAGCTTCTCTCAACTGTATCTACCATCCCTTCAGCACAAGGCCTTAACATCAGCGCTGTGGAACCAGCTGGTTTATTTTGTGTGTATGTGCATTTCTATTATTAGGTGCTTTTCAGTGAGGAGTTGGAGCCTCTCTGCAATCCCCCTCCATCTGCCTGTGGATGTTGCAGGGCTGCCCATTGCAGTCATTCCCTGCTGCTAGGTAAGTGTGGCTGCATTCTTCCTTAGCTCAAACTGGTCAAAGTCTTTTCCTGGGGAGATGGGGGGATCAGTTGGTTTTATTAAAATTGCTTCCTTGTAAACATTCCTACAGTGTCATAAGTTTTGTTCTTAGGAAACATCAGCTCTGCCTTCAGGAAGTGAGCCAGACACCTGGGACCAGTGGAGAGTAAAGGAAAAGCTATGTGAGATTGGGGGGCAGAATATGCAGGATTTGAGGTGGGACATGGGGGCTGCTGCTGCAGCCCCAGCACATGGGCAAGCACCAAGGGGTATGCCTGGGGATGGTGTACCATAACTGTGTGCCTACAGCATGGAAGCCAGGGGGAAGGGTCCCGATCACAGCAGCGAACATTGCAAATACCCAGTGTGTTTCCGCTTTGGTGGCTGCAGTCACAGCAGTACCACACCTTGCCCTGTTCCCACAGCAACATCAGACACAGGCCCATGGGCAACTGGATTTCAACTTGGTATCTCTAAGATTCAGTGTTTGGCAAGGGTCTCCATGCATCATTCAGTTGATTTCCTCACTGCTGCTGCAGTGCACTCTCCTTGCATGCAGTGATAATGTGAGCATGGCAGCCAGCGGCTTTTTTGGCTGAGCCACTTCCTCAGACGATGGGGAAACATGCTCCAACAGGAGGTAAGTGCCTCCTGGCATGCTCAGCAATTACTCAGGCAGATTGGCTGATATCAACCATTACAGCATGCAAGGGAGATGCTTACATTGTCTCTCCCAACTGCCTAGGGTAGGAGATTAGGTTCCCTGCATCACATCAGTGGCAAGAAAGTCCCTGGGGAGCCATTCAGAGCATATTAGCTTCCCACTCTGAATCGTGCCCTGGAAGATGTGGTCTCATTGTTGCCTGTGTCAAGGCTAAGGGAAGACTAACCTTGTTTGTTGACATTAAGTGGGATGGCTCTGTCCGTGCAATCAGCTTTGCCAAGTTCCTAAGGCTTGTGGCTCACTGCGAAAGGCACTCTCATGGCACAGCCATGTACAATCCAGCAGCGAGTAACTGGCTGAAGGGCGCTGCGTGAGGCAAAGAAACTGGTGCAGGATCTGAAGAGAAATAGGGAAAAACTGAAACATCTCTTCCCCAGGCAGGTATTAAAAAAAATAAACCAAAATTGAGACAACGGGAGATCTGGCTGCACTGGAGCCAATGCGCTTCCGAGTACATCATCTCCAACCCGCGCTGGCTCCTCTGTGAAGGGGATTTGCAACGCTGCCTTCATCGTACAGGCAAGAGCACAGCAGCTTGGAGGGCCGCGGCGATGCGCAGTTCGCGAGCGGCGGAGCGGGGCCGAGCCGGACGGGCGGCTGCCTCGCTGCCCGGGGAGCCACTGCCCTCTAGTGGGACCCGCTCCGAGCACCTCTCCTGCTCTGCCGCCCTCAGCCTGGAACAGGGGTACAGGGACTCGCTGCAGCTGGAGGTGGCTGTGGCTGGCGGCTCATGCCGCCAACCCTCCTCCTCCTGCCGCCGCTGTGGTCCCTTGATGGGTGCAACCCTAATCACTGAGAGCGTGCTCCCTCTCAGCCCTTCAAATGGCTCCTGGGCATCGGTTTTATAAAACTGCCTTTTTCAATACCTTTTCCCTCACGTCCCGCATGCAAGAGCTGCAGCAGCAGCTCTTGTTTGCTTATTTTGCATGGGTAGAGTAAGTAAGTGATCTAGTGGTGTTTCAGAGCAAACTTTACTGTAGTTGCTTCTCAGGGAAAGCTGCTGCTCTCTTGCCCTTTGCTGTGCATCCAGGGAATCCCCAGGGTTGTGCCCATGCCAACGAACACCAGCACAAATGAGAAATTCAGAGGAGGAAGATGAAAAACCACCACCTGCCAAGCCAGCAGACTGCTGCTCTCACCCCAGGCTGCAAAAACCCTGAAGCTGTGCCCTCGGCTGGTGAACCAGAGATGTCTCCAGAGCCAGGAGACTGGTTGGAGGTGCACTGGAGGCAAGCAGCCCTGCAGTTACCTGGTGCTGCAACACCTTGCAGCTACAGCCATCATGCAGCAGCACCCCAGGCTCCCAGCACCATGCATGCTTGCCCAAGGGCATGAAAGGTGCTCCACCTTCCCTCCACACACGCACACAGAGTCTTGGCAGCAGAAGTTCTCCTGCCAAAGCGATACACATCTCTTCTTCCAGCTGAGAAAATACCACCAGGTATGTTGCAGGGAGCACACGAGGCAGCCAGGAACTCCCACAGCAGCACCTGGCTGGAGTGCTGATGGGGGGCTCCAGGCTCCCACACTGCCGCTGCAGCAGCCAGCTCAGCCAGTCTGGGTGGGGAGCCTAGCACCCTGCCAGCGTCAACCCGCCTGCGGCACCAAGCTCCCCACTGTGCACCTGCATGGCTCCATAGGGTGCTGCACACAGAGGGATGTGCTCCCCAGGGCTGCTTGCTTGGAGGCTGTGGGCTGGCTCCAACTCAGTTTGGTGGTATGTGTTTTGAAAGCTCATCCTGCTGTTTTAGTGGCTCTGCCCCATGGAAG